AATTCAGTGCTTTCAAGGCCAAAGCAAATGCTGCAAATTTGCCCTCTTTTTTCTGAATAAATTAACTCATCAATTCACTGGATGAACTCACATTTCCATTTCACAGCCAAATTCCAACTAGCATGATTCTCCAGCACCCCCGTGGGAGTTCAGTCTGGAATCGGTTGTGCTATACGACTTGGTGGCTTAATAAGTACTTCCAGACCTCCATGACTGCATAGATTTGGGAGAAAACACCACACGGAGCTGCTGTTTGTGATGGATAGGAGGCCCATTTCTGCAGGTACTCCAGTCTTCCCACTCCCTAACAATCACCTCCCTCCCACTGTCGTTTGCTTCTCCCCTCCCCTGTTGCCTAGCTTCAGGGTCATTTACTTTTCCAAAGCCACCTGCTCCTCCTCGCCTTTGAGTTTCTAAGTGCCAGCTTTCTAAGATTTGACCTCAAGACCAGCCAACTCGGACTGGGATGGCTTTCCCCATCTGCAGCAAAAGTCATTTCAAAAAGCAGAGAGAGAGCTGGGCACCTCATATTTTCCTTGCTGGATGTGTTTGTGGCTGCAAAAACCAATTGCTGAAGCTCAGCCGTAAGAAATGAAATGTGTTTAGTCACAGGTAAAGTTCATGAACGTGGGATTAGCTGCAGAATGTGCGTTGTGGCATCTTTTACCAATGAATGCACATCCTAGATCCTGCTCCTTTTACAAATAAGCTATGTCTAGAGTGGTACTAATGACAAAAACAGAAGCAAGTCTGATGGTCTGGCAGCCTCAAAGCTGCTGGGAATAACGAGCTACGGCACACAGCACTTTATCTTCATCAGATTTTTTCCCTCTACTTGTTTCTAGCATCTGAAATGCCCATATTCCCTTGGGATCAAACAGGCATCTAGCCCTGCAGGACAAACTCTTCCCTCCACGCTTTCTGGGTTAATATTTGAAGCTGCTGCACCAAGAGAAACTGTCGTTTAGAGAGCACACAGAAAGCAGATCAGGGCACATATGGACACCACTTGGATCTCCCAGCACCAGTCCCAAGAATGACTCTATGCTCCCTTCCAATTGCCCCAAGACAATTTGGGAAACCAAGGACCAAACCACCAGATTTAGTTGGCCTGTTTACGCTAGATACAAACTTTGGTGAATTTTTTTTTTTTTTTACTAAGAGAGCAACTTACTTTCATTATTTGGGCTTCCATAGGGGAGTTAAACCTGGAAGACCACCCAATATCAAATGTTAATTCTATATGAAAAGGAAAAGCTTTCAAAAACCACAGATCAAAAAGGACCTTGAAGAGGTCTTGAGAGTCAGAATTTCCAGGCTGTGGAGTTGCTGTTCAAAACATACAGAAAGTAGCTGCATGGCTCACTTAGGTTTTTGGGCCATGGCCTCTGCTGTAGTTGGTTCTCCTTGGTTTGCCTCCCAAGAGGAGGCATGTTGACTTACCAGGCTGAGTGCTGGTTTCCACTGCAGGCTCTCTTATCCATACTGCTGGGTGGTACCAGGTTAATCCTACAGTATTTTGTAATTGCTTTGAACTCTCCTTTGTTGTTTACTTTCTACTTGGAGCCACTACAGGGTAAAAAAAAAAAAAAAAGAAAAGAAAGAAAGAAAGAAAAGTCTGAAGGAAACTTAAACTTGAAGAAAATAGAATTTGTTACAAAGTTTTGCAAAGGCTTGCAGCGACCTTCAGCAACTCAATCAGCTCTTAATTTTGGCCCATGTCTGTCTCATTGCTTCCTTTACTAGGAGGAAAAAAGTTCTCAGTTGTGTGTTTTCTTGTTCTGCCTCTGGTCTCATTACAATTCCATCCCCATATAAATACCCTTCTCCTTTTTTATAATCTCAGGTGGTGTCTTTCTCAGGCTAATTAATCAACCTGAATTCTTAAACCCACACTCTCCTCCTCCGTGACTTTGCTCCGTTCTATTTCCTCCTCCCCTGCTACTTTCAGCTTCTGCTCCTGCCTTGGAGTCCCTTCCCAATTGATATGCACACACCTGTGCCCAGGAAGATTTCCCAAACTGTCCTGCTACTTTACTTCCACTTTTCCCTACCAAGAGTCTTGCCCAAATGCCACCCAGCATCCACTTCCAGTTACAGTAATGCTAATAACCAGAAATGTTACTGAACCATGTAACTTTTGCCTGATGCATGAAAAGGAAAAATGTTGAGACACTGAGTTTTGCAGCAACGAGAGAGTATATTCACCAGGCAGCCAAGTGAGGAGATGAAAGAATGAGTTTCAAATCCACCTTTCTGAAAGCAAGGGGCTAAGGGTATTTATGGGATAAAGACTGAAGAAGCAGGCAGTCTGAGGCTTGGGGAACGTGGGGAAATGTGATTGGAAAAAGGTGAGGTAATCATCGTTCTGCCCAGGCTTAACTAGGCTACAAGCCCCTGCAGGTTCTAAAAATGGAGGTGCTTTGCATGATCTGAGGTAGAGTTTTCCATCCTCTGATGTCCGAAGATCACCAAGTGGACACTCACCCATGCCCATCTGGAAGGTCGGTCGATCCTACCCAGTCTTTACCAGCTCAGCCTGATCTAGCACAGCTGACCCCAAGTTCCTTGGAAAATAACTTGGGCAAATATCTTATTGTTTAGGCTACCTGACGCCTGGAAGACGTGCAAGCCTTTTGTAGATGACCCTGATTAGTGAAGGCACAGGAAATGGATTTGACTAACGATGGTTTCAGTAATAAATAACAGCTAAGTGCCTGTACTGTCTTAAGTGATGTATATACATTGCCCCTTAGCCTCACAAAATCCGTAGGAGTTAGCTACTATTACTGCCATTACTGTCTCCATTCTAAAGGTGGGGATGTGAAAGCACAAAGGAGTTCAGGCGCTTGCACAAGACCACACAGCACGCTTGTAACAGAGATGGGACTGAAATCTAAGCAGCCTGCCTGCTCTCGGGG